GGGTTTGGGGTTTAGGGGTTCAGGCGTTTAAAGGTTTAGGGTTTGGGGGTTTAGGGTTTGGGGTTTAGGGTATTTGAGGTTATAACAATTAGAATAGGGTTTTGGGGCCCATTGTACTACAATCATAATAAGGAACCCTACGCAAAAACATACAGGTAATTATTTAGGCCCTTACAGTAGGTTTTTCTTTACAGCTTTAGGGTTTAAAGCTTAGGGCTCAGGATGTTTTTTACAACTTTAGGGTTTAGAGTTTAGGGCTCAGGGCTTTTTTTACAATAGGGTTTAGGGTTTAGGGTTTGCAACTTACTACGGTTCCTCCAAATGACTCTATATCAGGGCCGGCTTTTCCTATCCCTTCTCGGGTTCGAGGTTGGGGCATTTAGGGCTACTAGGCCTCAGGCCTCACGACTGTACTTGTATGAGCGAGAACTGACCGCAGTCCTGGCACCCTGCGTCGGGGCAGTCCCCTTGGCCGCTTTCATCCATTGAGGAGGCGCTTGAAAAATGAGAAGTCATTGGAGCCCCAAGAAGAGTCCTTCCAGAGCCCTTTAAGACCCGTGCGAAAGGCACGCCCGTCATCAATACCTTAAAGCCTCATAAGACCCTTATGAAACCTTCATTGAACCGTGGACAAACCCTTTTGGATCATCCCTGTGAAACCGGCTTTAAAGCATTTAAAGCCCTTCTGTGCCCTAAACCCTGAATACCTAAATCCTGTGGACCTAAGCTCAAATCACCATTAGCACCCTAAACCTTAATCCCACGGGCAGCATGTCGGTGGCACTCTAAGCTGCCATTTTCCGACGTGTGCCGTGCGAAACAACTAAAATGGCGAAGCCTAAGCAAACCTCAACCTTTAGACCAATACCCTCACCTGGCTGTGGGAAGAATGTGGGCCTGCCTGGAAGCGCATAACCTCTCAGCTCTCAAGTTAAACCCCAAACGACACTGAAGGTGATAAATACAGACCACCCGCAACCCGTCTTGCCCGCAGCCCACAGGCCAAAACCAATGCAACAATTAACGCCGACCGCTCAAATCACAAACAACATCGCTATATCCACATAGAAAGGAGCCTTGCCGGTAGGAGACCTTAAGCACCCAAGCTCGAAACTCTCCCGGAAACTTTAAACCCCAAACCCTCAAACCGCATCGATAGGAAAGTGGCTGCGAGAGTTCGTTGGAGACAGCGCCGGCGACGCGGCTTTGGCGTCTGTCTGGAAAAGACCTCGGCTTGGATTTCAGGAATTTGGGGGCTGAATTACCAGAATCTAAACGAGTTTGCAGGTTTGTTGGGAAGAGGGCTGCAGTGGCGTCAGTTGTCCTGTATCTCGTGTTCTGAGGTTGTATAATCAACACCTCTCCCACACCGTAAGTATTCTCAACCGATGAGTGAACCCCCGAAACCGCGAATCCAAAATCCCTCATGTCAACTACCTCACATCTCGAACCCCTTCGCCGTAATTAGTTGAGCCTTTGCCCCAATCGCGGACATTCAAAACCGCTGACGACTGACGCTGAAACCTATCACTAAAACACAAACTCCCAACCTGCAAGAAACGAACCCCGAGAATCAGCCTAAACCCGAACCGAAAGGCGAACTATCCCCGAGCTGTGCTGTATCCAGAATAAGCCTAAACCCGAACCACGAGGCGAAGTACTGTTGTCGTTGCTTCTTGCTTGTTCTTGTTCTTGTTCTTGTTCTTGGTCTTGGTCTTGGTCTTGGTCTTGGTCTCGGTCTGGGTCTTGTTTTTGTTCTTGTTCTTGTTCTTGGTCTTGGTCTTGGTCTTGGTCTTGGTCGTGGTGGTGGTGGAGGTGGTGGTGGTGGTGGTAGTGGTGGTGGTGGTGGTGGTGGTGGTGCCTGTGCTGCTGCTGCTGCTGCTGCTGCTGCTGCTGCTGCTGCTGCTGCTGCTGCTGCTGCTGCTGCTGCGCTATTGCTGTTGCTGTTGTGATGGGGCATGCGTTTGCTTCGAGTTGATTTTTACAGGAATCATCCGCGCTGAAGCTTCTACGCTGCACATCTCGGTGTAGATATCGAACACACCGTAGCACACGCTTCACTGTTCACTCTAGGCACACTGTCGGACCAGTCGCACAATTGCTCGGGAAAGGACCCTGGCAGGGACCCGTCGCCCCCTAAACGGCTACTTGGGGCCCTACTATAGACCCTGGTCCTCATCAATAATGACCATGCCACGCTGCAAGGGAATCAACGGACGCCAAACCTTTTCCGATGACACTCAGCAACTTCTGCTGACACTTGTTGAGCTGCGGTAGCACATCGTCTCTGCGGTATTTTCGGGCCGACTTCCAACCTCGACAATAGCGTTGTGCCCCCGGGCTGCTTTCAGTTGACCATCAATTTCCAGCTGGTTTGCCCAAACTCGTGACTTTGCAGCTGTGCAGGGTGTAATGCAGGGCTTCTGACGGGCTCATACCGTCATACCCAGTGGCACCGTCAAAAGATGGGCAGCATCGAGCTATAGCACAGAGGTGCATTGTTCTGACACATGAAGAAATCGCGCTTCTCGTCCTGCTTGAGTACCTGCAGCATGAGGTGATCAAGGCGATGCCCCCAGCCGAAACCAGAAGCACCCTCAAGGAGAACGCCCCAGCACCAGGCGCGAACAGAGATTGAAAGTCCGTCCGTTGGCAGTCGCTCCAGCGGGGCCCTGCCCATGCCATCAATATGATTATCACAGCAACGGTCATCAGCGACAGCTGCGGCTTTCTCCAAGGCACGAACAACACCCAAGCACAGGGGTAAGGCCTCCTTGCAAGGCATGAGGCTCCATGTGCTTGCACCTGTCCAGGTGCACACTCCAGAAGAATCCAGCATGATAGACAGCGTCAGAATGTCGAGCTTGGCAGCAACACATCGCAACGAGGATACAACACCCACAGCCCTGCCACGCCGCCCTCGCCCACCGTCAGAGCGAACGCCCATCGACAAGGCGGCTAAAAAATCGCGCCGGAGACAGTCCTGGGTTCCCTTCGGCATCGCAAAACTCCAACCATGTCCGCCAATTCCCTATATGACGGCGCAAGGTGGTCAGCGCGTCGTCCCACCGATGCGCCAAGCTTGATAGCACCACACTTTCAATAGCCACGCCGCGAGCCAAAACAACTAGCTGGCTCGCGAATTTCTTGTGCTACATGTCCTCCTGCTCTCGCTGCGAGTTGACAGCTCGGCTGCAAACAACAACTGACGGAGTTAATGGAATTCTGAATCTTCGCTATCACGCCCAATTGTGGCCCCTATCGCTCGAAAACGTGCAGGACGCATCCCGCGAGGAATCCGCGGCTCCTCTTGAAAGGGCGAAGGCCTGGACTTCCAAGCTGGTGGGCGCAGCAGCAGCATGCAGAAGAAGAGAAGCAATCAATGACAACCAACAACTGATAAACACAGAGCCAGGATTTTCTGTTGAAGAACCGCGCTAGGTTCGGCACACCACACACAACACTTGCAGCTGCAAGCTGTGGACTGATGCAGACCAACACACGATGCGGTTGCATGTGAGTGTTCGCCGTACAAGCTACAGGGCATCACTAATTTCAACAAGGTTTCGGGGCCATACATCTGTGTTATATCATAGGGAGTTTAGTATGTCTGAGACGTGTTTCTTCTGCTAGGCTGAACCCGGAAACAGGAGCATGGGAAGGCATGGGAAGGCCGAAAACATGCGCTGCACTATAAAACCCTTGCCAGCCATCCCTTATAACCACACTCTTGGCCCTTGCAAAACTCTGAGCAAACCTGGGGTAAACTGCTGCCGACCAAAGACGGCGCAATCCCACGCGAAGCTCAACCTCTGCCAGTGCAGGTGTTGGCCTCCTCGGCTTGCTTCTTGGGTTTAGGGGTTAGGGTTTACGGGTTTAGGGTTTAGGGGTTTAGGGTGTAGGGTTTAGAGTTTCCACTAAAGGGTTTAGGTTTTCAAGGTTCGTGTCAAAGGGTTTAGGGTGAAATCGGATCAGG